TTTTAATATTTCATTTTATTCTTTATCTCAGTCGATGTTATAATATGACTTTATGTGATTTTGAGAAATCGATGATGTTTTTTATTTTTGAATAAAATATATGTTTGAAGATATCATAAAATTTTGACAAAAATATATCGATATTADTATCAAATTAACTATTTGAAATTCCTCATTGTTTTGTGTAATGTTTTAATTCAATTTTTTTAATAATTTAATGTATGTACAATGAAGTAATTTATATTTGGTTTAATAATATAATTTTTTTATAAATATAATAATTATTTATTTTGTTGGAACTCGATAATTATTATAATTATATTTTAGATTTTTTATATTTTAAAATGAGATGTCCATCCTCGTTCGAGGTACAACAATGTGTTGAACTACTTCAACAAGTTTGCGCGTAAGATATCCTGCATCAATGAATGGGAAGATCGAAAAGTTGGAAGAAGAAAAGATTTTTTGAGCTATTTTACAAATAATCTCTCATGGATTTATTGGTGCTGCACTTTTTTTCTTGGCAGGAACAAGTTATGATAGAATACGTCTATCTCTTGACTCGAAATGGGAGCAGGTTTGAAAAAGGATCTTAGAGTGTCTAGGGTTGGGCCAGGAGGGCAGTCCCTGCTCGACGGGTGCAGTCAAGCTCCCTTCTGCCTTTGCGAAAAGGTTCTCGATTGATTCAAACACTGTACCTATTTTCATATCCGTAATAGTGCGAAAACGAAAAGAAGGCCCGACCCCAAGTACGGGAGAAGGGGTGCCTCCTCACAAAGGGGGTCGCTCCTTAGATGAATATATAGATACCGACTCTATTAGATGGTCACAAAAACCAATCTTATTTCTGAAATAAAAGCAATAAATAATCAAAATTATAAAACCCATTGGAAGGGGTAGTGCACGAGAAAAAAAATCATGCAGAAATGATCGTGAAATTCTTTTTCCTTTTCGCAGGGACCAGGAGATTGGATCTAGCCGTAAGAAGAATGCTTGGTATAAATAACTCTATCTCTGTTCCTTCCGTTTGAAGAAAGGAAGGATCCCAAAGAATCGATCTGAGGATCAACCGGTAGTGGGCGAGGGGATTGCTTTTTCCTTGAATTTTTTTTTATTCCCGTGGAAGTCCACATTTTGGCTACATCCGCCCCTATTATCCCGATATTGTAATCATCGTTGACAGCCCAGGCACAACGACGCAATTATCAGGGGCGCGCTCTACCCACTGAGCTAATAGCCCGTCGTGCGAGCCCCCCACTAGGGGCCCACTATGCCAAAAGCGAGAGAAACCCCATCCCTCTCTTTTCTTTTTTCGCCCCCATGTCGCCATACAGAGGGCATGGGGACGTAAAAAGGGGGATCCTATCAACTTGTTCCGAACAACCGGGAGCAATTTACTTACAATACTTAGTTGACATTCATAAAAAGTATCTAAAAACGAGCAGTTCTAGTAAGATTTGTAATATGAATACCTTTACGTTTTGCAGAGATATAAGGTGCCATTTTAGGATTCCATTTCCTAGTACCATGGCCAAAATGAACTCCTGCTTCCATCATCTCTTCTAAATTAATGTTCCAATATCTTCTTGTCATTTCTCCCTACACTGCCTCCCCCTTTTGAAAAAAAAAGAGATTTAATGATCCCTAAGAACACCCCTTTCTTTTATCTTTTAAAAGGATCTGTTGGTCCAGTCATTTGATTTGGTAATAGTAATCAAAAAATAACAAAAACAAGAGAAAGAAACAAGTATCCAATTTTTTATAGATATTCACGATATGCTTCCTATGGTAA